CACAGTCTGTGTTCCAGCTCATTTGAAAGGTGGCGGATAAATTGGAGGTCAGAGGTCAAGTTGTTACACACAAAATTGGGAAAAGGATTTCTTTATGGATGTGGCTTTGTGCACAGTCGCAGTGTCATGCTGAAACAGGAAAGGGCCAAGCAGTTGGAAAAACACTATTGTCTTAAGTATGATTGTATGATATTTCATTACGATGATCCTGTCAGAGGAACTGAAAGCCTAAACTAGGAAAGTCGGTCCCCACACCATGTGCTGTTGGCCATTTTGTTCTAAAAGGGACAATATCACAACGCCATCATAATCATTCTTCAAGACACTCAGAGAGTTATGTTTGTTTTTAATTCAGATTGCTGCTTTTGACTTTGTGGTGTAAATTACAGCAACAAGTTTCCATGACAGCTAAAAAACTGCACAAAAAAAAGAGAGAAACAGCAGATCTGGTGAAGGGTATGAAAACATTCATATTTGATAAAGTGCTTTTTTTCCTGCTCTATACTGCACTCGCACCAATATCCTCCAGATACATCTTTAATGAGCGAAACCATGGACACAGACCAGAAACACACAAAGTCACCTCACTGTGACCTTTGCTCTCATGGAGAGAAAAGTTTATGATTCAGTCAACGGGGGAGCACAAGAAATGTCAAACGTCTCTCGTCCTGTTTTTAAAGGCTGGCGTCTGTGGCAAGAACCCAAGTCTGTTGATGGAGGAAGAGGAGGAGGAGGAGGAAAAGGGGAAGGATGAAGGAGATGGAGAGACAGTCTTTTTGCTCTGATGTTGCTGCTCAGGAAGGCCTCCTGGGACAGAATCAAAACCTGCCTCTCCTGAAACCCCCTCACCACGGGCGGCCGGTGACCACTCGCCCCCAGAGCTGCCGGATGAGAGCGAGGATGAGGAGTGGTGACTGCGAAGATGGAGGCAGGGCGCGCACATTGATGGCTAGAGTGATGATTTCCTTCACACACACAGACACAAATGCCCCCACTCATCCTCGCACCTCCTCCCACCTCCCCATGGCCCTGGCCCTGCAGGCAACACACACACACACACACCCCTTCTCCCTCTCTCTCACACTCACACACACACACACACACACACACACACACACACCATGGTTAGGCCTCCAATTAAATCAAAAGTGGTTTGTTTTTATTGGTCTTTTGCGCTGACAAGTGGGCTATCATTCTGACGGCTCTACCTGTCAGTGAGCAGCTGAAAATCCTCCGTTGACAATGCCCAATGCTTCCAATTAGGGGAGAATCAGACTCCTGCCGCGCTAGCCATCTTTCCACCCTCCCCCCCTCCCCAAGCCCACCTTCCCTCCCCTCTTTTCTTCTGCACTCACTCCACGATCCTCTACCATTCCCCTCTTTCCCTCTCACTCTTTCTCTCCTCCGTAATATCTCCCTCCTCCTCCTCCTCCTCCTCCTCCTCTCCTGTGTCTCTCCAGGAGAAGGGGGTCTGTCTCCGCTGCAAATTACCGACACAAAACGAAGGTGGTGGCGGCGCTGGCGCTGGGAGCTGCCGGTCCAGGGCCCTGTCAGCATTAATGAGACGATGAAGGTTCATTTCGCCCGCATGCATGTGCTAAATTCTTTCTTGTGTGACAGCTGACTGGGAAATGTGAGTGTTAACCTTATAAAAGATTCAGCGGGTTCTCATTATTTTCTGTCAACTCCAGTACCTGATGGCGTTAAGGTGCATCATTTGCATCCCTGACTGGTCCAGGGTGCAGCACCAGCTCCAGAGCAAGTGCCTTTTTCTTGTCTTTTTTTTTTTTTTCTCCTGCCGTTTTTTTTTTTAATGCTGTTTGTTTGTTGAGAGGAGTCACCTTTTTACATACATCCCCCTCGAAAGACATGCTTTACTCGATGTACCAAAACCAAAACGATAGGGATGCCAAAGTTTATTCAAAGGCGACACACTTTTTTTTTTTTTTACAAAACATATCTAGGTATGTATTTAACATGGCTGCTCAATTGGGCAAGTAAATAAAATGTAGTACACTGTTTTCTGTTTTTTCCCTCCCCACAAAAGCCCAGGAAGCAGAGGAGGCCCAGCAGGCATTATTAGCAGTAAAGCTTATGGACAGAATTCCAATAACACATTTCCACAGATAGATTATTAACACTGACAGGTCAGTATGGACTATTACGATGAAGCTGCACCTGGTGCCTGTTTAACTTGTTTTATTTTTTATACTATTGATACTTTTCCAAATATTCAAAGACTAGTAACCTGATCAGAATAAAATATTAATATCAATATTTGTCTTTAATACTCAGATTTGAATTAAAATGTAAGGCTGACAGCCCAGCCAGAGGAAAAACAGTCCACACTTTACTCAAATGGCCCGAAGGTGCCAACTTTGTTTTGGTGAAAATGTGAGTGAAAGGTGTGAGGCTGTTTAATGTGGATCAATAATAAAGTAATATTTAACCATCTGATGAGAACAGATGGAGAGAGAGAGAGGTGGAGAGACAGCAACACACCAAGCACTGATCGTTTCCTGGAAACATTCCTGTTTCCTCTTTTTAACATGGATCAATAACATCCTCCCACAACATCAGTGTGTGTGTGTGTGTGTGTGTGTGTGTGTGTGTGTGTGTGTGTGTGTGTGTGTGTGTGTGTTTCATCACTGCAGTAACAGTTGCACTGGCCCTCAAATTTTGACCGCTTCCTGGAGAGGAGAGAGAAAAAAAATAAAAAAAAATCGCTTGACCAGAGGGACACTTGTCCAAAATCAGCAGTAGCATGAGCCAGATCATTACACTACACTACACAACACCACACTACACTACACACATACACACACACAGCTACAGTCTAGCTGTATAGTCTTCTGCCAAAAAGAGTATTTATAAACTCACCAAAGGCCTATTTTATTTTTTTCATTTTAACACACTTGTACACTCAGTCTATTTTAGTAGGGAAACTATTATAATTTTGATCATAAACATTTTGATGATCAACTAAAAATTTAAACTAAACAAGTAAAAATGTTGAGGATTTTCTTGTTCCAGCTTCTCACATGACGATTCTTTGATTTTCTCTGATTTATTTCATTGTAAATTGAATATTTTTTTTTTTAATATTTGGGCTTTGATGATAATGTCGGTCATACAGAACAAGAGTGTGCGATTATTAAAAAACACTGTTTAAGATATAATGAATTATTATCCTGAGTTACATCCATAGTCTATCTAATGTAAAATAATCACAGTTTCTCAAATCTGGTAAGGTATGCTATGGTGGTTTTTTTTTCTTCCAAAATTATGTTTTTTTTTTAAATTTTCTTTCAGCTATAGTTGATATGTCTGGAAGCAGAGATGTAAACCCATTTAATCTCAACTTACCCCCTTTATTTTTTTCCAAAGAAACTGTGGATAAAATAATAAACTGCTAAAAATACATTAAAATTAAACTCAAATAAATACATAGATCTTTTAACAAACAAACGAGAATAAAAAAAAAAAGCTTCTCCAAGTTTTAAAGGCCACGTGATGATCACAAAAAGGAAGCAGTGAGTTTAATCACCTTATGATTTATTTACTACAACATTACTGGAGCCTGTGGACTGCAGCACAGTGAGGATAAAGAGAGGAAGACAAAAAAAAACTGTGAGAGAAAGCATCAAACCACTGCTCCTTTTCATGCACCAGCAGAGGAGAAAGAAACAGCTAAGTCAGGGTGTGTGTTGCCTTATATCTGTGTTGTCCCCGCCTCATATGTGACAGCTTGCAGCCGTGATGGGACCCCATGGGAGCGGGGAGCGGATTCACTAACCTGCCGGTGTCTGAGACCGACGCGCGCCTCCAATCTGGTGGTCACATGGGGTGGAGGGGGAGGGGGTGCGGGGGTGTAGATGATGATGAGAGGGGGGTTAGTTAGATTATTAGGGGCTGTCGAGGCCGTCGCGCGGGGCAAACTGTTGTGCAGGATGGAGCTAAAAGTGCACACAATGGCATTTCACGCATGTTAAGGTGAAAAGTGCGCACAATGGCGAGTCACGCGCCTTGAAGTTTTGCGTCACGCTGCTCAGACTATTGTATATAATTACGAAGGACTATTAAAGCGTTATTATGCTCTAAATGGTTGAGGCTTTGTTTTATTCAGTTCTCATCCACAAATTGTATTATTTGAAATGTAACATAAAATGATCTTGTTATTGTGGCCACAGTGTGTCTGTTTCTGAAAATGTAATGTTGAGATTTTTGCCTGAAGTTGAACAAACACAAAGGCAAAATGTGTCACAGCTAAAAAAATAAAAATGGTCATATTGGTCAGCAATAAAATTAACAGGCCTGTTTTAAGGCCATTTTAACAATAAACTGACCACCACCCATTAATGGGCTAATAATAATAATAATAATAATAATTTTAATAACAATAATAATAGCCTAATATTAATGATATTATTAACAATAATAATGATAATATATTTTTAATAAAATTTCAATGGATTTTCTCAATATCAAAACATTTACACCTGCAAACAATGTTAAATCAGATAATCCGACAAAGTAATACAAAAAGTCAAAAGTTAAAAATGAGTGATGAGAATAAAATGTAAAAGGATGAGGAAAAATCAGTGTGAAGGTGCAGAGCTACGGAGGTGGGAGAGGAATCCAGTCAAAGAAAAGGAGTCGAGAAGAAAAACGCCGAGCCGCTCCACATAATAACCCCATTATAAGCCTCATCAATGATGTAATGAAAGCAAACAGTGTGAAAATTGCCTGTAAACAGTTGGATCTGAGTCTCCTGATGAATTCAGTGTCTCTTTTATCAAAGTGAGGATGAGCCAGAGAGGAGAGTAGAGGATGGGAGGGAGGGAGGGAAGGAGGGTGGGAGGCAGAGCGAGTGGGCGTGTAGGGAGGTCCACTTCCAGCTCTCCTCAGCCAATGAAGGCTTGTCACAGGGGACTCACGTGGACAAGGCGCTCTTAAAACCTAGCTCCTGACTTTTCCTCAAGTTCAATTTTTTGGGATTCCCTCCCACCCCATCACATCTCGTCCTTTTACTTGCCAGTTGTGACTATTTAACCCAGTTTACCTCTCCCTTTTTTCGCTTCTGCGGCGCGCATCATATCGTCCCGCGTCTTCCGCCTCTTCCTCTTTTGCTGCTTTCTTTTCCTGCCGCAGCTCTCGGACTCTTCACTCTCTCTGCTTCCTGTTTTTTTTTAAGGTTTTTGTTGTTGTGCTTAAAAGAATGCGAACAGTTTTCCTCTGACGCATGTGTGGCCACATGACGAGCTGCCCTGAACCTTTTCCTCCGCTGCTCTCTCAGGTCTGACGCGCCTGTACCTGTCCATGGTGCTGAAACGCATTTCCACGAAGAAGAACCGGCTCGCTGTTGCTCCAAAATCTCCAGAAATAGTCAATATTTCTGCGTCTTTTCGGGTTCTGCTGGTGAGATAATTTCGGCAGTAGCTGGCTCATCGTCCCGGTGAGGTTTGTGAACTCAAAGCAGAAGGAGTTGATCCTGAAGGAAGCGGAAAGAATCGATAGTGACTCCATCGATTTCAGGAGGACTCATCTTTTCAGACTTGACAAACACCAGAGAATCGGATGCATGGACGATTGCTGTAACGCAACTTAGACTGGAGATATTTTCTCTGTGAAGAACCAGTTGGGAAACTGGAAACAGTGGATGAATTCATTTTATTTGTAGCGTATCCAAAAACATATTTGTTGGTCCGGGGAGGGGGGTTTTTTCTCCTCTACTGGATCAACTGAGAATTCAACGTCCCCCCCCCTCCTCCCTAAAATAAAACTTGTCCTGAATACCAAATGGTAGTTTGAGGAGGCCGCGATCAAGACAATGGAGGCGTCCGCCAACGGGTCCAGTTTTGGCATCGACTCGCTGCTGTCCCACAGGCCGGGAAGTCCGGTGTCCAAGGGGGACAGCCTGGTGGGGGAGTGCCGCTCGCCTCTGGAGTTCAGCCCGAGATCAGACGTGGAGAGCGGCTGCTCGTCGCCTCCGTCGCCGAGGAGGGAGTGCGTGGAGGAGGTGGCCCAGAGGCAAGGTCACGGCGTCGGCCTGCCACCGCACCTCCAGCACGCGCAGATATCGGCGGGGTCGCAGCAGAGGACCGTGACCTCGTCGTTCCTCATCAGAGATATTCTTGCGGACTGTAAGCCTCTAGCCGCCTGCGCGCCCTACTCCAGCAATGGACAGCCGACTCAGGAGGCAGGGAGACTGGCCTCGAAGATAGCGGACGACTTTATGGAGAAAATCCACAGCAACTCGTCGTCAGACAGTGAATATAAAGGTAAGGACGGAGAACTGGTGTGTGTATATACAGTGAAGGAACTGCTCTGACCCGGAGATGAGATTGGAGGTGACACTGATTTGGCCTCCTGGTTTCAGACAGGACTTCTGGCTCATGTAGAAACACACTAATCATTTTGTGTGTAGTATATATCTTAGTTGTATGTGGAGCCCGTCTTTGACTTATTTTTAGACCTAAATTCCTACATTTTTGTATGTTGTTGAGCTGCTGAACAACTTTCGTCGTCTTGAAAAGAAATATTTAATTTGGACAAACCAAATAAACAAATAATAAATAAAACAAAATAAAATAACATAACATAATATAGCCTAAAACAATATAGCCTAAAATAATATAATATAAAAAAATATAATAAAACAAAATAAATAACATGCTTTACAAAGTATAATTTGAAAAAACAATAAAATCAGCCATGCTGTCCAAAGTATAATTTGAGAATTTTGCTTGGTGGGTAATAATAGAAAAAAAAGAAATAAGGATAAACATAATTAAATAAGTATTTTTTTAAGGTGTTTGGCGCTTTTCAGATTATTTTCTTCTAAAAATAATGTAAAAATAACATTTTGCAGTTCAGCTTTTTGAATAATTTGGGGAGAACGTGAAACACAGTAACAGAATGATTTTTTTCAATAATTTGATAGTAGTTACATTTCACTAGTAGCAGGCCGGAAACCATCGATGAGCAATAATTGCTGCTGCATCACGGTGTTACAAACATGAGACTTTTACCTGCACAGTAAGAAGCTCATGAGTTTATTTAAGTTATTACAGTCACTACTTTTAAAACTAACCACTGGCTGCATGTAAAGTATCAAGGAAGCATCTGTTGATGTCAGGGAGGTAAGAATGGGAGAGATGACAGGGTCGCCTCCAGATAAATACCATCAAGGGCCTCTCTGTTTCCAATCATGTCAGCCATAACACACGTCACCTCCATTGACAGTTTAATGAAGCAGTGCCTGTACAGAAGACACCGGTTTACGATGGAAAATACACAAATAAAAAAATAATCACATTTAATAGCTAAATAAAGAAAAATATTATTAACGCATTATACTAATAAGGATTATTATTATTATTATTATTAACTTTATCAGCCTGTTATTATATTCACTTATAGGCTAACCGTTTTCTTCTTCATTCACTTTTCTCGTTAAGTTACCAATACGGCCTCACGTCATCAATTTGCTCAACAAATTCCGGGTGTGCGCGCGCGTGCGTCCGCGCGCCCCCGCGTGTCACAGTGTGGATGGAGATGCTCATCGACGCGCTGATTGATTGAAGGAGCCGCGGGGCCCACAGAGCGCCTGTACGGTAGCTTTGATTTCCACGAATCCGCCTCCTATAATATTTCAGGGATTTGATGCAATTTGTCCCCGGCGCTAATCAGATTTGTAACCGCGCAAGGCCGCCCGGCTCTTGATTTCCACTCATTTCCACGGTCCTGTGAAGTTTCTCCGGTCGCGGTTGAAAGGCTCGTCCTTCCCTTGTGGCTCAATTAGGCGGATTATTGTGCTTCTTGAGACGACTCAACTATTCAACTACCAGGATCTCTCGCCTCGCTCGCCCCCCTCCTCTCCTTTTCTTTTCTTTTCTTTCTTTTCTTTTTTTTTAAGAGAATTGAAGGAGTGTATATCAATGCTCGCCCTGACATGACAACACGCAGAAAAAGAACAAAGAGTGCGGGTCTACTGACGGGAGAAATATCAGATTGGAAGTGCGAATATTGGAAAAGCTTTTCATATCAATTTAAGACCAAATCAAATAGCTCCATATCGCCTATAGGCGCTGTCTCTGACGCCGTGCTTCACTCTCTGCACTCATTTCTTCTCACATGTGCAGCATACACAGTTATAAAGCCCAACATGCTGTAAAAATCAGACATGTTATTTGAAAAAAACAAAACATTTTAACTATAATTGTTCTTTGTGTTTTTGTCACTCTATTTATCATCAAGCAAACTGTGCTTTGGGACCATTGGTAAGATGTTCAAACCAGTGATTTGAAATTTATTCCAAATAAAAATTAGAAAAAAAGTTTTTTTTTAAAGTGGTTTCCTCCACTTTTTAAAATTACATTTAAAAACAAAATTAAGCGCATTGTAGTTAAAAATGTGGCTAAATCACATCTCTTGAAATGGGGATACGTATTTTTTATTGTTATTATTTTAAATTTTGACAATCAGCCACTTAACCCTTTCATAGCACCTATCACGGGACGTGCTGCTCAAAGTGTTTCCAATTTTAAAAATACACGAAATGAAGTTATTAAAATTCAGTTTAGGCTTGATCCAACCAGAGTTCACTTCATATTTTACGACTTTCTCCTGAGTCAAACCCTTGATTAAAGTGAGCAGCTTCACACTGGTGAGTATCTACTGGGCCATAACATTTTCCGTTTTTAATCTATTTTTAATGCAGTTGACACTGATAGTTGCTTTAGAGGCTGCTGCTGCTGTTGCTGCTGCAGATTTGTTTCCGCGGCCGCTGCTTGTCCACACAAACATGGATGTAGCTTTACACTGTAGAGAGAGAGAGGCCTCCGCTCTGCTTTAACTCCTTCTCTTCTTTTTTGTCTCTCCCTTTCTCATCGTCTTCTCATCCTCCAGTGAAAGAGGAGGGGGACAGGGAGATCTCCAGCAGTAGAGACAGCCCTCAGGTCCGGCTCAAGAAGCCCAGGAAGGCCCGGACGGCCTTCACAGACCACCAGCTGGCCCAGCTGGAGCGCAGCTTCGAGCGGCAGAAGTACCTGAGCGTCCAGGACCGCATGGAGCTGGCGGCCTCCCTCAACCTCACCGACACGCAGGTCAAGACCTGGTACCAGAACCGGAGGTGAGGACACTGCTACTGTTTCTTGAGAGGGAGGGGGAGGAGGAGGGAAGGGGGGGGGGGGAATCTGGTTTCTCACGGCTGACTCATGAATGGATGGATCCATGGACGCCATGTTTTCCTTTCACCATCACCCTAAAGGTGGCACGAGTTCATTTAACCTATGAGTCACTGCCACCAGGACTGCAACTAACCATCCTATTAATTATTGATTCATCTGCCATTTGTTTTCTGGATTGACTGATTAATCGTTCGGTCAGAAATAGAGCAAAACATCAGAGTTTATCAGAGAGGTCCAACACCCAAAGAAATTCATTTAACTATCAGACAGTGGAAGAAGGTGACATTTATATTTTTAACTTAATTTATTTACAAAATATTTTCTGATTAATTTTTCTTTATTTGTTTCAGGTCAAACTTTTACTTTAAAATAACACACACCAAGGAGCAATTATTGATTGACAGCTGAGTAATTGATTTGATGCCTTAGCTAAGAGAAACTGTCATTGTCAAGTCATTGAAAGTTTTATTTTATTTATTTATTTACTTATTTTATTTTAGGCTATGTAGCTTATTTATTTTTCATTTTGGTAACTTTGATTTAATTTGATCTTTTTCTATTTAAAAAAAAAAACAGGGACATTTCTCATAATCAAGGCTGATCCCTTTTGTTGTTTTTGAGTTTTGATGCTTCTCAGTCCTGAGTTTATTTCTTTCGTGCTCAGCAGCTCCATGCAACCAGACTAATGGTAAAGTAGAATACAATGACCCTGCAAACAGTTCGCAAACCGAGGTGTCAACTTTTTGTAAATAAATAAAACTCTAACATGAACTGGTGGGACAAACCGTCTTCATCAATGTGAAAACATGTTTTCTGCAGTTTACGCTTGAATTACCTTCCGCATTTATTTGTCTGCAGCTTTGACTCTCCGGCAGCTAAATGACATAAATAAATATAAAAACACAACACTTTGGAGTATGAATAATGCATCGTTGCATGTGTGCATATCAATAATTCAAACAAACCACTATATCTACTCAATTATCTTTATTATGAATTATTCACCTGCATGGAGTGCATACTGGCAATCTAACAGACGTCCTTGGGTGTGAATACAAGTGGCAGGTTGGAGATTTTGGTGATTTAAAAAGAAAAAAAAACAGATGTAGGTTAGTCTGACTTCTAATTGGACCCCAGGTAAACAGATGGGAGTTATTTTAGTATGTCATATTCAAACACACATTTATAGATACTCATATGCTAAAGGCTAAAACTGCGTCTTTTATCGTCTCCAGGACAAAGTGGAAGAGGCAGACGGCGGTGGGACTCGAGCTGTTGGCGGAAGCTGGAAACTATTCTGCCCTGCAGAGGATGTTCCCGTCCCCGTACTTCTACCCGCAGAGCCTGGTGTCCAACCTGGACCCAGGAGCGGCCCTCTACCTATACAGAGGCCCCTCGGCGCCCCCGCCGGCCCTGCAGAGACCACTGGTCCCGCGGATCCTGCTGCACGGCCTGCAGGGGGGCAGCGAGCCGCCGCCTCCGCCGCCTCCTCTGCCCCCCATGTCCGGCGTGCTTCCCCGGCCGGCTCAGCAGCGGTGAGCCGGCCCCCTGCGCACAGTTTCTTGAACGCTGACCTTGGCAGCTTGGGACTCATTAGGAGAAATAAAACAAAGACGGAAAAAGATGAAAACGTGACGAAAAAGAGAAACATGAAAATAAAAAAAACTTCTCAGCCTTTACATGGTACAAACACCGAGAGAGGCTGAAGCCTGTGGACGGAGCTCTGTGACTGAAACTCAAACTGTCTGTGTGGAAGGATCTTTTTCTGTTTTTTGGGGGGGCATGAGCTTTATTTATACCTTATTTATTTTTCAACATGAATCAAAGTATTTAAGTTATGTATTTATTTGATCCCAGCTTCAGTATTTTCAGTGTTTTTCCCAACAACAGATAGAAATGTTGGTGGCACTTTGACCTACAGTTCAAAGCCGATTACACCCCCTATTATTATTATTATTATTATTATTATTATTATTGTTATTATCATCATCATCATCATCATCATCATCATCATTATTATGTGGACGTTCCTGGATGGTGGCAAAGGCGGAAACACAATATCCTTTCATGTAATTTGAATATAATGTAGTTAGGGGATCCAAAGGAACAATTCGTTTTTTTTTTCTTTTTTCTTTTCTTTGTAAATTTGTCATTGATTTTTCTTTACACGTGAAGAACAAGCTGATCAGCAGTCATAAACCTGTAAATAAGAATATTTTGCATTTTATTCGAAAGAGACTGATTTTAAAGAAACTTTTTTTTTTTTGGTTTGTTTGTTTGATCTATTAGTGCGTCTTTTTCAGACCACGGTGATCCAGTTTAACATAATAGGCTAGATTAGCCATCAGATAAATAAATCAATAAAAAAAATAAAAAACATATTGTCTGAGAAAGGATGGACTACCTGCCTGGACCCACGTGTGGGCACAAACACGAGAGTTATGGAAAGAAAGAAATCTATATAAAGTCTTTTTTCTTGTTCTTAGTTGAAGTTTTAGCGAAGTAAAAATGTCAAGTAATTTATAAAAAAGCAGTTTTCTCCTCGCAGAGGGGTGAACGGGGGGAGCCAGTCACCTCAGTGATGTTTCTTTTTTTATTTTTTCGATAAACAAACCGATTGGACTCGGTTCCACGTCCAGGTGTAACTGCCTGTCGATTTGCTATAGATGTATTTGAACAGACGTTGTGCATTACTTATGTTATTTCATATGACGCCGTGATAACCCTTAACTGTTATACTCTCCTTTGGTGAAAATGTATATTGCAGATATCAAACTTGTGGAGTGGTTCTTGTATATTTCCTGGATCGTTTTTAATTTTTTTTTAAATTTTTTTTTTATTTTATTTAATTTTTTTCTTTCCTCTAGCTTCCCCAAACTCTCTCTCCCCCATTTCGTGAAGTTCATTTTTTTTGTGAAATTCACAGCAAAAGTTGGACAGAAAAAGGGGGGATTTGATGTAAAAGAGAATTACTTTTATAAATGTGGAAATAAAAGTCTTTCATTTAATAACGTGGCTTCGTGAGTATGTGTGGAACAGAAAAGCCACGAGGCTTGTCAGGTGCAATCAACACGTGGGGTGCAGGTTATTGTGTAAAATGGATTTCTCCACTTAAAACCTGCAGGAGGTGGACGGAGTAGCAGCAACACCACGGTCTGTAATGAAACTAAATAGAACAGCTGTGATGCAGAGGAAGCGTCACTTTGTTGGGATTTGTTGATTCAGAATTGGAGCTGCAGTTTGTGGTTGCGTTGCATTATATTTTTGCGTTGTCATATTATTTTGAGCACCTGCTATGTGCATTATGCATGTGTCTTTAAACGGCTAATTTAACTCATAAAAATATGCATTAGGGTTGTCATTCGTTGAACCTGATTATAATGCAAAAAGGAAAAAAATAATAATTTGGCACAAAATGTAGAAAACGTAATGGTTTGACACCAAAATAAAAGCCTGTACCTCACCAAACCAACAGAAAAAAAGACCTTCATATTAAATACAGAATGATACATTTAAAGTATAAAGGCCTGTCTGATGTTTTTGAGGCAGAGGGCTCGACTGCCCACTGTTTAAAAGCATGAGTGTTTTTATTACAAAGTGATGTGAACACATGTCGGAGTCAATGAGCAAAGGTTGGAGAGCTGGGTGGTGCAGCTTTAATTAAACAACTTCACTTTTCTGGAAGCAGCTCGAAAATAAACACTATTTTAAGGGCCCGCGGGTTTCTATTAGAGGAAAACGTGTTTGAATGAATTTGAACATGTCTGTCACGCGGCTCTTCCTCCTCTGTTTGGTTTAGTGTGGTTGATTTAATTTGTTTAATGTTGAGATGAAAGCGTGATAAAAAAAAAAAAAAAAAGTTAATAAGAGTGTCACAGTGGAGCAAGAGCTTTAACATCCGTTTCCTTAACCTTTTCAAAAGAAGAGCGGAGATTTGGAGAGAGATTTTTTTTACAACTAACTTCAATTTGGACAAATGTTAATGTTATTCTGTTAATTACAAAAATATTGACTTGTCTTAGGCAACTGATTTGATTTGATTTCTGCGATTTATTTATTCATTTTTTCTTTTTGAGGATATAAATGTAGGAACCGTTTTGATTGAAGGGTACATGAGGGAAAAGTTTGATTAGAAATTGATAGCAAAGCGCGCACACCTCACGTAGTACACGCACCCCCACCACCACCACCACCACCACCACCACCACACACACACACACACACACACACACACGTTCAAAAGTGCAATCAAAGATCAATTCCAGCTAATGTCTATAGAGAAGGGCCAACAAAGCAGAGGGATGTTCCGTCCAAAATAGAGCCCCTGTCCTGTTCGCCCCCCCCCCCCCCCCCCCCCCCCTCCCCCTCGTTCCCACTTTCCTAAATTAACAGCAGTAACTCCAATTCGTTTTCCATAAACAATGCAGGAGATGAAATATTAATGTTATGTGCGCAATTGTTTAAGTGCCCTAAATGATCCCATTTGGAAATTGATTGTTTCCATCCTTCTTTTCCTTGAGGGTGCTGGATGTGCGCTCCTCTGCCAAACGGCTCCAACAGCTGGTGACCGGGCTGGAGCTGACTGTAGACCGGGGATCAGCGTGGGGACAGCTGGTCAGCGGCTCCACCATCGCCACCCCTCCCTTCTCCATACAAATTTCACCCAACCACCCAAGCACCAACCGCACTCCCACCCCCCTCCTCTGCAGGTCTGTGTGGACTCAAAGTTATCCGGCCGTGGCGCGTTGGGGGTTAAAGGAGTTCAGGCTGACGGACAAGACTTGGCGTGTAGGATGTTAACGATTAGACAAAAGACTTTAATAGGTTTTAATTGAAAGTCGATAATGGGTTTGATAGCCAGCTCCCCCTGCTGTCATCCACGCATGGCACCTGTTATCTGGGGCCTCCACTTAGTGGCTGACCACGCCGTGAAACATCAGACTGACGGCCTGGTAACTGCCGCATTTATGATGCGGAAAATTGCATTAAAAATACAGTGGGCCGAGCCGGCGGGTTCTGACGACTGGGAAAGTGAAAAGGGGAAAAGGGGAAAAGGGAAGCGAAAAAAATCAAACACCTCCCAACTTGCCAAAAGGTCATTATAGTCCCATCATGAGGATCCGTGACCGATTCAGATAACGACGACCCTTTTTATAAAAGGGGGTTATTCTTGCAAAGTGCACAGCTGATTATATAAGGAAAAGCCCCCGTGTGTCTTGTTGGATGGCTCGGAGATTTTTTTCTCTTTTCTTTGCATGTGAAAGGCTGGTGGTAAATCCCCCGGCTCTTTCCGTGGATTGTCCCCGGCTCAGGGTTAATGAAGTGCGGATGGAGTCTCGTTGAGCTCCCGACAGACAAAAAAAAAAAAAAAAAGGCTTAGACCCAGAGGATCAGTGACTCTGCTTAATCCCATGGACTCCTAATAATAATAATAATTCAAAAGAAAAAACTAAACAAAAAAACAACCTTTTGATGAAATTAAGAGTGAATCAAAGCGTAATTTGCATTGTGCGCGTGGTGTGAGAGCTTTTATATTTCCTTTCATTCCTTTCAGTGGACCAATGGAGCAAATCTGCGGCTTGCATTAAGATTGTTGCAACACACTGCCAGCGTTTTGTTGAAAAAAATCCGCGGGGGAGGATGAAAAATAGATCAATTAAAATGTTCAAGAAAGGCATGGCCTATTTTGCCGTTTCCCCCCTCAACAATAGCCATAAACGAAAAGAACTAATTTCACAGTTTCGTGCGCACAAGAGAAACGTGGCTTTACATGGACTATTATATCTGCAGTTAGTCAGAGAGGAAATTACATCCATTTAGTCCCATATGCCTATAGCTTCTATATCCTACATACTACATGTATGTGGAGCATTTTGGAATAACCTTTGAAGCCATAATAGCACACAGACGCGTTTCAAAATAGAGCAAAGGCACTTTATTACACACAGAGCCTCATGTGTAATACTCCAAACAAAGTGTTTGACTTTGGTTCTCAAAAAAGGAGAAGTTAAGATTTTTTTTCTCCAACATCCATACACAAAGGCTTGTATTTTGTCTCTTCTCTATAACAGGACACCAAAAGTTTTAAAAATTAAACATGGAAAATGATTAAATGTTTTTTAAAGAGAAAGGGAAATGCAAAATGCCCGTGTATGTGTTTCTTTTGGAAATATGGCAGTCTGTTTTAAATAGGATCACGCTGCTTCAGTCTATATGGTAAAAATGTAAATATGGGCTACACTTGGATGCCCTGGTGTTCAGTTTATGTTTGCTGTGTTTAGAGTCTAGGCAGCAGGCAGGGAAAAGTAGGACAAATTGTATAAGGCTACTGACCCTGACAAAGTCATAATTTTTCCAAAGACATTTTATTTCTTCTTCATATTAAAATATTAAATAAAAATGCCACTTAACTTTATTCAAATAAGTAAATTTTTATAATCCAATAGCTGAAAATGATTCAGAGGAAAAGAGAAGAGGTTAATGTTAAAATGAATCTGACTCAGCAATGAACAGAGACATTTAGAGAGATGAAGTAGGCTACATGATACCAGCAAGTGTAAAGGGGGAGAGTGTGAGGAGTGAAAGGAGAGCAGCAGCCGGGCGGTTAGAGATCCCCTCCTTGCCTGGAGGTACTGGGGGGCCGTGAGGAGGAATGAAAGCCTCGCAGAGTGGAGGGGAGATAACCCCACTAATCATTTCCCCAATATGACTGGGGAAGAACTACAAACTTGGGTCAGGGGCGCGGGGATTGACAGCCCAATCTCGGCAAATAATGAAAGCTTTCCTCTCGGATCAGAAGGAGGGTTAGGGAGGGAGACAGAAGAGGAGAGGAGAGCGGGAGAAGGGGGATAGACGCTGGGAAGAAAAGAGGTGGAGCTGCTGCTTCACACCACCACACACATAGAGAAACCTCTCATTCTTTCACTTCTCCTGGACTGCAGAGGACGGAGAATATCCAAGTTGACTGCCTGAGATTAGCATATATGTGACAGCAGGTAGGCTGACTAACACTGCATACAGGCAATGGTGGCAGAATGGGAAGGAAGTGTACACATTATTCCAAAATAGTCATCCCAAACAGCTATCCTTTTAGTAGCTAAAAAGTCATCAAATAGGGTACATTAACGATTTAATATTGTATTTATAGTTAACAATAGCAAGTAACAGCAAAAAGTGAAGCTTAAATGAGCTGAACTAAATGTTTTAATACTGGTTTTTATTTCGATGTAACTACCAGTGACGGTGGCTTCACCCATTTTGTTGATACTTCTGCAGTTTTGTGACAAATATTGTAGCCGTCATAAATTCACACCCTCTCTGAATCGATATTACAGCAAGGAGGCTGAGCTGAACAGTTCGAAAAATTATGATATCAAGTGCCGCCTAAATTTCAGCACTTAAATCAACAATGTGTTGTATGTCTCATATTCAGGAATACAAAATGTTTTTCTCTAACAATTTGTCTTTTTAACAAAGTAAACTAATATTGAAAGTGAAGGATCTTAAATGCCTCAGTGTTTAATTTAGTATCAACATGAATGAAAACAACATGATTTACTTTTAATAGTCAACAAAAAACAGGGAAACCGCTGGCACTCTGTAATACAACCAACCTGACAAACCTCAGCTACTGGCAGTGTGCACGGAGAACGGGATAATATTGAAAACTGTCGCAATACAAGTAATAAACAACTTCATTGCTAAAATCCTTGATTGTTAAATGATTATTGGGACGGTCCTTCATTTGCCTTGACAAATAATACATTCTAGACACATTTAAATACTAAAAGGGCGCACTGCAGACCTCTGCCAAGGCCAGTATCAAACAACATACACCAGACTTCAGAGAAGAAAAATTTGAATTCATAGTAAATGATCTGAATCAGCACCAAAACGTTCTTCCCTGGTCCATGTCACATCCCTCCACCAATTTCGGTGCAAATCGGTTCAGTACTTTTTGTGTAATAAACAAACAGACAA